AGTATCCTCCTCATTCATACTGAAGCTCACCGTATCACTTAACTTGTTTACTCCTCGCAGCTGTGATCAGGACGAGGTACAGAAATTATTGAAATCGGTTTTTGGTCTATTCCAAAACGATCTCCATGCCCTCCCTTCTTTCTTTTTACTGGAACATATCCAGGTCATTTTCACTACATCGGCTCAATAGATATTACCATGTTTTGTCCATCTTTCATTCAGACACTGTATTTTCTGTTTCGAATTTGCCTCCGGATGATAATGTGTCTAACTAATTCTTGTTTTAGTTCTCTGGACTGAGCACTACCGATCCAATAATGTTAAAAAGATGCGGTGAATTCCTCACTGCCTTCAGAGTCATGTGATTAGTGAGTAAACAACGGCGGCCGAACCGAAAAATGCTTGCAGGCGATGTTGGAAAAGCTGCTGTAATTTGAGAACTCTTTCTGAAGGAAAAAAGATTACTGATTCTTTGCTATGACGCCTATCATATTTTATGCATAGTAAATTCTCGCCTGAAAGCTGTTTTTCTACATCCAACATTTTTTAGAGCGAACGGCTGCTTTCCTACCTAACATGTGCATTTTTTACAACCCACACAGACAATTAGGCGCGCCTAATGTTATGACGAATCATTCGCCCTGATCACAAGGAAGATGTACGTAGGAAAATGCCATATTCAAATTCTTGAATATCAGACATGCCTCTTTGCTTCATAAAAAAAGTAATACAACGTTCAATGTACAGTGGCTAGAAATTGCGGCTTTATCCTTCTGTGCAATTCTCCACAAATCCAGACTCAATCCGTCGAGGTGAAGCAGCGACCATTTGGAGTGCACTTTCATTCGAATGAAGACCTGTCATGAACCTGAAAGTCTGAGGTTGACATGCATCGGTATGACGAGGAGACAAACCTAAGTGACAAACTATACTTGGCAAAATGATTCGAGGTCATTTCCACATCAATCTTCCACAAGCACGAGGTGAAATATTTTACCTCTACCTACTCTGTCTTATGAGGATGACAAATATTGGGCAACGAAGGAGTTAGGAAAAGGTCGAATGGTTGGTTGGCTGGTTGGTGATATCAGGAGGCGTTGACAAAATCCCTGATATCTAGTCGAACAAAGTGCGGCATAAAATAAACCAGTGAAATGGAGGAAGGGCTGTGGCAAAGACGCTATTACAGTATAACCCGTAATTCATGGAATCTTGGCGTTCTTGCTGTCATGTTGTCTGAAAGAAATAAAAATTCTAGACTATTGGATTGCAGCATCGGTTGCTCTACTCCACATACGATTTAAAGAACTACAGACCGATCGGGAATTTGCCAATCATCATCAAAATGTTTACGAAAGTACTGACGAACAGATTTCAAAAACCTAGACGCTGCACAGCAAAACAAGATAGCGGGATTCACAACCTGTTTCTGTAGCATGCATCATCTCCAGGTGGAGCAAAAACTAATTCAGACAAACAATGAATCAGCTTTCTTACTGCCTGGGGTTAGTCGATTTTTGAAAAAAGATACAGATGCCACATCACCATGATACACAATAATGCAAAAAAGAGCAAGTTCAAAATAAAATCAAAAAAAACGATAGTCCAGGAGACATAATGTCAGAGAAGTTATTCACTGCAGCCGTACAAGAAGTCTTCAAGACAATGCATTGGGAAAATCAGGAACTGAAGCTAAGCGATCACTCTTTGAGACACCTACCGTTTCCGGACGACATTGTGATCTTCTCAAGGTTGCGAGAATTCAAAAGACAAAATTTGAGAAGCAATCTAGGAGCTGAGTAACAAACAAGACTCAGGTCATGTTTAAGAAATGGGCAACACCGCGACCTGATGAAATCAAGGGGTTTAGGTCTGGAAGCACACAGTACCTCATCTGAGATCTGAGTTAAACAGCTCACCTCCGGAATGAAAAACCAATTATTGAAATCAGCGCAAGAATAAAATCGACAACGAGTGATTTTGAAAGACCAGATAAGTTCTCACCCGGAAACGTATTCGATCAGTGTACGCTGTCAGTGCTAGTCTATAGGTACTGAATGTGGACCCAAGGCCTGAAAACTATCCAAGATCAAGGCAGCATGGAAAGAACTATGCTGGAAATAAAAAGAAAAGATAGGAAGAAAAAATGAATAGGCAAGAGCACAAACAAGAGTTATTGCATGAATGAACAAACTAGAGTGGCAATGGAGAGGGTAAAAAGAACCAGCCATTGTGGAACCAGAGAGTCACTAGCCTCAGCTCAAAGAAATAATAAACCGTTCATAAGAAGACCACCAAATCGATGGCTAGATGAGTTGAAAGTTAGCTGGATCATGATCAATGAAAATGGCAGAAAACAAGCTCATGGTAACGTCTTGGACAAGCTTCCACCAACCAGTTCACCGACAAAGTCTGATGATCATTATCAGGTTAGGGAGGGAAATAAAATTTCCTTCGCTTCAATTGTATGGTCATGGTATAGAAACTCGAAGTAAGGTCGTCCAGACTGGTTCACTGATGTCCTTCATTTGTCACTGGGTGTGTCACTGTCACCACCATGCTTACTGCAGCATTTCAGTCCTCTGAAGAAGTGAAGCAAATGTAGCCGCATGCCCCCCCTCCCCTCCAACAAATGCTTATTTTACATGATAAAATAATAGGAAATTGCAGCAGCAATAGAGGATCAAGTTGTATCAACGGAGAACTATAGGGGAAATACATAAAAAAGAAAAGCATGGGGAACAAATGCTGGATGTGCCGCAGTGCAACGGAATCGATCACGTATATTGTCGAAGGTTGCTTTGTTTTTGCTAACAACGAGTACCCCAAATACCACAGTAGCATCGCATAGATCATAGACCAATAACTGACAAATAAAAGAGGCAGAATCTCACAAACGACAGCGAAATCGATACCATCCAGTGAACGTGCTTGAGGATATCCTATGTATCATCTACCTCAACCATTGCATGCTCACTGATCGTGCCAATGATCATAATCATCCAAGAATATTGCTCTTGGATCGCCAGAAACGGATCAAGATCATCAAAAAGAATGTGCTGAAGAAATGGTTTGATTGAATAAGAAAGTACTATGTCCTGGACATCTATCTGAATAATGAGCAACACGAATGGTCATCTCCACTAGTGGCCTCATTTCGAAATTAGTGAAGATCAGGTTTGACTATCTAAAGCTCACAGAAACACTACCAAAAGATGTTAAAAAAAACTCGCTTTTCATATATAACCCGGATTTTGCGAAAACTCTTGGATTTTACAATTTTTTGGCTGGGCCGTAAAGAGCTGGCTATGCTTGGACTATGGTTACTAATAAACCATAATCTGTATGAGACAATAT